ATTTCTTTGTTCCAAAATAATTTTCTTTTGACATAACAATACTTATTCTGAAATGGAGAACATGGTTGATTTCGATAAACTCCGACTCACTAAAATTCTTTTTACATTCCAGCAAGAATAACATTAAGATGAATGACTCGTGAAAAGTCCTAACAAAAGAATTTAAAATAAAATTAAAAGAGTTTTTCATCTGTAGAGGATTGACATTAAGTTTCCTAAAATTAACTATTTATCATTTAATTAATAACTATTCAAATTTACCTAAAAAACGAACAAAATAAATCAAAATCAACTTACGAAATAAAAAGAGCACTATAATTCAAACTTTATCACCCAGAGCAAATTTTAAATCATTATTTTGTGTGTGGGGTGGGGGTGGGGGTGGGGAGGGATTGGTTCCAAGATAAAAGGGCGATATATGTGATAATTAAAGTTGCAAAAAGTGTGTGGTCATAGCTGTGAATTAAAAATGTTCATAATTTTCCAGTTGTGACCATAAATGAAAATGATAGTGCTCGTCTCCTGTGGCATGTGTGGGTCAATTGGGCATCGATAGCTTGATACGCGGGATATGATAAGTAAGATATTTCATGGGTTAGAGATATTTTTGTGAAAATATTTTTTTCTTATTTTTTATACAAGATAATAATTTTGTGATTTTTAATATAAATAATAATATAAAATAACCTTAAAATTTATTCATAACCAAAATTAAATATGAAATAAAATTAATTTCAAATTATTTTATAAAATTATTATTATTTATCTCACGTATCAGATATTTCTATAACTTTGATGTGAAGAAGGGTCCAGGGTTGGAAAAAGAAAATAAAACCTTTTTGGTTTGAGGTTTTAAATGTGAAGTGCTTTGATGCACTTTTATAATCTAATAAATCAATTAAAAATATCTTGTTCTACCGATATAGATTGTGGTGCAGTGATGAAATTGTTTTATCCTAATTAGAGGTTTTGAGTTTGACTTTTGGATATGAAAAAAATCTTGTTAGGAGCATTATCTCTAAATGAGTCATATAGTGTGTTATCCGAATTTAGTCAGAATTCAAATGCGATCTTTAAACACCAAATGAAAAGTCAAAAAAAATAAAAAAATCTTGTCCCACTTCCACCTACCACCTTTTAAGACATCCATAAATTTCTTTTGAAAATCTTATACTCTGGTAAATTAAAATCATCCCAAATAAGTATTTTTTTTTCTCTGACTTCCCTAAAAATTTAATGACGTTACAAGAAGTATTCATTTCCATCTAGCTACCTATACACTACAAAAAACATAGAAACGATTTTAATTGCATTTGATATTATTCATAAGGTAATTTAATGACATAAAAGTATATAGTAGTAATAATTAACCATGTGATATAAATAGCAAATGCAAGTAGTAATATATTTTACTAATGAACTGGTCAATGTCATTTGTCAGTTTCTTTCCATAACCGCGTTTAGGTTAATATCATTGATTAATAATAAATTAAACTTTCCAACAACTAATCAGATAAATTTAATGGGCATTGTGTCATATTTCGTTGAGAAATTTGAAAAATAAATAAATTATGTTTAAATGAAAAATAATATTTAAAAATTAAAATTGTGTTTGATCCTGTATTTAAATTGGAGTTTTTTTTAAAAAAAATTAGTGTGAGTAATTTAGAGTGAAAATACGTTTATGTTATTTCTTAAATTCTTAAAAATTCTGAAATTAACTTGAAATCGGACATATTTTTCAAAAATTCAACTAAGAAAAAGGTTGAAAAATTACATGGCCAAACACGAAATCCAACAAGTAAAAAACGAATGAGAACACCACTCAAGTCTTTATCACAATTTAATTTTACGTGTTGTCACAAATCAATTTATGACAATGATAATCTTTGTCTAAAAATATAATGACGAATATAATAAATATTGTTATATATATATATTAATATTTAACGTTTAAATTTCAGTTAGTTATTGTTAGTGGGAGCATGTAAAAAATTAATTTAAGAATTTTGTGTATTCTAAAATTATAAATAGGAGTACTGCTATAAATTTATAATGAATATTACTATTGTTACACATAAAATATTATTCTAGAAAAACAAAAGATATAACATAACAAATCGAATTGATTTCATAGAATGCCAGATCATTATAATAAAATATTATCATAACAGTGATTATTATAACAAAGTTTTACTGTATTTATTTGGGGAAAAAATCATAGTTTATCAATTTTAGTATGACTACTTTCTTTCTCCTTTTTGGCACAATTATATTTAAATTGTTGGAGAGAAAAATATTTAAATTGATCATATTGTGTTCATTTTTTTTTTTTTTAATAATATCCTTATTTTGCTATTTTTCACAACAAAAAAAATGGCTGAATACATAAGCGGCCCCTTAAACTTGTTCATATTTTTCATTTAGACACTTAAATTATAAGGTATACCAATTGAACACTCGAACTCAAACTATAATGTGTCTATTGAACACACTGTGCTGACATGGCACAACATGTGTAGTACACTCTCCTCTGAGAGAGTGGAACGCCCCAACTTTTTTTACTTTTGTCTTCTCCAATCTCAAATTTGCAACACTATTTCCCTCTTTTTCACCACCATTGCCGATCACTCCCATGAATAAAATTATTTTTTGTCAAAATTGCAATGAAGAATTTAGGAAGAAACATCATATTTGTCTCTTCATAATTTAAATGTGAGCCGTCAACCACCACGAATGAATTAACTAATTAGCTTAATCAAACTTTTGATCCCTTCGTGTTCATTCAATTATTTCATCAAACAGAGCATCAAATCAATGGAAGGAGGAGATTCACGGATCGGAGTCGCCCGTCGTTACACCCATCGCCATTACCAACATTCAGTGCCGCTAATATCACCTCACAATTTTCCCTAAAATCTCCATCATAGCCGACGAAATTTACATCAGAAGTGGCTATCTTCTTCTCTCCATCGCCTTCTTTTTTCTCTCACAAAAAAGTCATTTCTTTCACATAACCTACTTCCACATGCCTCAACACATCTATTCATAAATCATTTAAAGATTTTTATTGGGTATGAATCATTGAATGTTGAACAAGTTTATCCTATTTTATCAAGATTTGTTGTAAAATTTTGCTAGAAATCAAGTGTAAAATAGCAATAAAAAAATGTATAAAAGAATCTGAAATAAAATTTACTAGAACGACAAAGATGGATTGCAATGAGGGCAGTTGTTTGATAAGAAATGAGATTGTTTGTTGTGGCGGTGGGATTGGGCTGTTTGTGAAAGGAGGAGTCCTAGGAGAGGTGGAAGAAAAAAAGTTTTTTTGCCATGTGTCATTTTCTTATTTGTAATAATGTCACATAAGCAGCGGTTGAAAGTCACGCACAAAACATTTGGGCTTGCTGCAAATATTGTGTTCAATAGGCACACAATGGCTTGAGTTCAGTGTTCAATAGGTAAGCCTTATAATTTAAGTATCTAAATGAAAAAAAGGGACAAGTTCGAGAGGCCGCTTATGTGTTAATGCCAAAAAAAAATCATGATTTGTTTATCTCATGGTCGATGAGCATGTGATAGAAAACAGCATAATTTTATTCGATTACTTTTTAGTATAAGACTGCATTCCAGCTGGCTAATATTATTTCTTACAATTATTGAAATTGTGTCAAAATGTTCCCACAAGGGACCAAAGTCAAATTGCACAGATATCATTTTCTACTTAGTTGACTTAAACATACTTGTATTATATTATTCATTGGATCTAAATGTCAATTTGTGTGGACCATTTTACTTGTTATTTTTATTTTAAAAAATAAATAAATAAATTATATTAAAATAAATATTTTATTCTATTTATTAATTTTAGTAAATTAAGAAAGTTTTATTATTTTATCTGTTTTAGTTTATACTCCTTCCGTTATTTTTAGTTGTCATGTTGTGCTTTTCAAGAGTCAATATGACTAATTTTCGAATGTGATTAAATTACATTAATTTAATATTTTAAATTAAAAAATTTAATATTCAAAAACTAAAGGAAAACTACTATAAATTGTAGTTCTTTTTATATAAATTTGATTTTAAAAATCAAAAGATAGTTTATCACTTAATTACTAATTTCTCCTTACTAAAGTCATTTCTTAAATAACAAAAAAACAATATGATAAAATTATTATTTTATTTTTGCTCAGGTGCCACATTAATACAAGACAAGTAAATTAGCCTGAAAGGAGTATTACATATGAATGGGCATGATATGATACATACTAAATATTATATCGAATTCGAAATATTCTATAACGCGGTATAAATATTATGATATTTGGTACACCTTTTACATTTTTTTGGTATCTCAAATGTTTATAAAATAAATACCGAAGATCATATAATGCATCGAAGTTTCATATTAATTTATAGAAGTTAGAACCTTTATATATTATTTTAACATTTTAAAATATAAATACATATCAACAAATTGTACGATAAAAAAACACGGTAAAGAATTTGTTTAGCTACGGACACATGAACTTAATTGCAATTTGCAAGGAATTAGTTATACGTGTCTTTACGATTTAGCAACCAATAATAATTTTTGACTACTCGATCTTGGTTGAATTTATTTTTTTTAATGAAATTGTTTAACAAATATAGTTGTTAGTCTAATAAAATTGAGACATTTTTGAAAAAAAATAAAATTCTTTATTATATATAAGTTGGAGTCAAATTAATTATGATTATCGAATACTCATATCGCAAAAAATTGAATCATACCAAACCAATTTGATATGATAATGATATCACACTTTTAAATATCAAAAACGAAAATTGTCAATCGAATTTTAAAATATCATACCATATTGTATCATGTTGAATTCTATGCCACATTTTAATAGGCAACTTATACTACACGATTCAAATTTAATCATTACTTCACTGCGGACACCGCATGAAAAATCAAAATAAAATAAAATATTGCACTATAAAATAACGAAATAACTGTTTCTAATAAAATTAACTTAAATGTGTATTAGGAATCACCAAGAAATTTAATAAATATCCTCTTTTTACATTGGTATTACGATTTAATGGAAAATAAATCCACAAAAAAAAAAGACTAAAATAAAAATAAAAATAAAGTAATAGCAACTCCCAAAAGGCCAAAAACCAGTCTCTGAACCATCTTCTCCATTTCTTGCACCGCGCACAGACAGAAAAATTGTATAATGAGATTTTACTCTGTTTCTGTGCTGTGCAATCTCCATTTTCGCTTTATTTGGAGTTTTTTAAGCTAATAATCTACAGATATGAGTCTCCATTATTCATTAGTCCATCGCATTGGGACCAGCACAAGCTTTGAGAATTGGGCTCCAGATCCACTGCACCAAAAACTTTCTTCCTCTTCTTCCATTCAAGTTGTAAGTCCGGCCATCTCTGTCCTTCATTACCTGCCCCATATACCCTCCACCGCCCCCTGTACCGTACAGCCCCTCACACAAATCACCGATTTCCGTCGGAGCAACTGGGTCCTCCCCTGCATACCAAGCGTTTACTAATGGATTTGACGATAGCTCAGCTAGTTCGTGACCTATAACGCTTATCATCCCGTCAACTCCAACGTCACCGTTTGGGGATTTCAATGCAGCAGGTCCATTTCCTCCCATATATCCCGGAACAGCAAATGGATATGCACAGACTTCAGGGCATTGCTTACCGGAATTCCCAACCCAAGCGTAGGGAAGCGTGTAACCGACTTTTGATGCGAAGGTGAAGTAGTGAAACCCACAGACAGCGCGGCAGAAATCCTGCATCGTTACGTCAACGGAAGTTAAGACGAGGTAGATTCCTTTCTTGTGGTCGACTGTAAAGGGTTTTGATTTAACAGCTTCGGCAATGACGTCTTGAATTGAGAGACGGTTGAGGTGGGTACCTTGGGAGTATTTACGATCGGAGTATTCTCCGGCGATGAGTACAGATCGAGAAATGTTAGCTCCGGTTTGATCGGTGTATAAGGAAACGGTGCTCCACCACTCAGCAACTGAAGGTGAAGGCGCAGCGCGATGATTGAAAGTGGAAACGGAAAGAAGGAAGTCCTTAATGAGGAGTTGCTGCGACGGTGCCCATTTCCCGTACCAAATGAGGTAAATGTTGATCGGAGAAGAAAGAACTGGACCCATATGGTAACGAAGGTTTACAAGGTCTGAAGAACCTTCAAATTTCTTGTTCGAAGATAGTGTCCTCGGAGGGAGTTTTGGGTTGAAGAAATTTGGGTTTTGGAGATCAAGAGTTTGTTCAGTAGGGGATCCATTGTTAGATCCAAACTGAAGGACGATAAACAAAAGAAACAGATTCAGTAAAGTTCCATACATTACGAAAGAAGACATAAATGGAAGAATAAGAAGAGTGGGAGCGTTGAGGGTAAATGGGTGAGGAAGAAGAAGGGGTGGGGGCAGATTATATAAAGAGGGATTTTATGGGGTTTGGGTTTAAGGAGGGAAATTGGCTGGAGACAGCTGCCATTGTTGTGGGCTCCAAGCACCACTCCTCCCAAAAGGCTCTTGATTCCCTTGTTACTTTCAGAATATATAATCCATCTAGTTTAGACATTCAAAAATTTGGCTGATTGATGGAACTTGATACCCACCAGACAAATTTGGTCGATTGATGTAACTTGGTATACTCTATTTGAAAGAAAATAACGTATGTATTAGCTTTGTGTATTATAAGTATTTCGCTTAGTACATTTTTTCAGCTTATGTATAACTAATGTTTGTATTACTAATATATTTTATTGTGGATAGATTTCTATGTATTAGTAATGCAGTGAGTTTTAATACATATATTAGCATTAGGGTTGTGTATTGATCGGTTCAATTTGATTTTGAAGTTTTATCGATTTGACTTATGGTTATTGATTTGTAGACATGCTAAATCATTATAGAACTATTGAGATATTGGTTTATCGGTTTAACCATTAAGATTTAATACAAAAAGAAATCATTGAAAAACACTTAAAATAAGGGAGAAAAGGCCCAAAATAGTCCCCCATCTTTGGGTTAAGACTCAAAGTCATCCTTGAGTTTTCACATTTGAGCATTAATAGTTCCTCATGTTTGCAATATTGGTGCACTTTTGGTCCTCCTTCAAAATTTTTGCATATTTTTTAACATTGATTTTATTCATAAATTTTATGTATGGAATGTTTAATCGTTATTTTATATATTTAGTAGAAATAATAACTTAATGTGAGAGATTGTGAGAAGAAAAACACTTTATTTTGTTTAGTAGAAATCGTATTGCAGGTAAAGTTGAGAGGTTCATCATGACGATTTCACGTACAATAGTACAAATTTTTCTTTTCTTGCAATGTAATATGTTAAAATGTTCTTAGTTTAGCTGCAGTAATATTTATACTCAACAGAACAATGTGTTCTTCTTCTCACATTCTCTCACATAGAGTTATTATTTATACTAAATATATAAAAAGACGATGGCACATTCCTTACATAAAATTATGAAGAAAATTAATGTTAAAAAATAGACAAAAGTTTAGGAGAGGACCAAAAGTGCACTAATATTGCAGACATGAGTGACTATTAATGCTTCATGTGAAAATTTAAGGATGACTTTGAGTCTTAACCCAAAGATGAAGGACTATTTTGGGCCTTCTCTCGAAATAACGTAATGAACCAAATGAGTCATGCACATGAGTTGACAGATTGTATCATGCTCAAAAGCAAAACACTCGCATTGTAGAATAATTGAAAGTTTGAGACTGCCAGAATTAAAAGAGTAAACTTTAGGTTTAGCAAACATAAAAAATATATTTATGTTTGCTATGACTATTAATATGTATATTTCGGTATACTTATACAAAAAAATCAATTGTATAATCTGTTTCGGTATACATATACAAAAAAATCAATTGTATAATCTGTTTCGGTATACATATACAAAAAAATCAATTGTATAATCTGTTTCGGTATACATATACAAAAAAATCAATTGTATAATCTGTTTCGGTATACATATACAAAAAAATCAATTGTATAATCTGTTTCGGTATACATATACAAAAAAATCAATTGTATAATCTGTTTCGGTATACATATACAAAAAAATCAATTGTATAATCTGTTTCGGTATACATATACAAAAAAAATCAATTGTATAATATGTGTTTGATTAAAGCGAGGAAGAGAGAAAGACAAAAGAAAACTAGGCAGGGGAAAGTCTGTATTTGTATAATTATAAGTGTATAGAACGAAAATATATGTATTTGTATATACAATTTTCTCTCACTTTATACAAACACAATTTATACATTTGTGTTTGTATAAAGTGAGAGTGGTGAGTGAGAGTGGCGAGCGAGATTCTCTGGGGGAGAGAGGTGAACAAAAATATATGTATATATACAGTTTTCTCTCACTTTATACAAATACAAGCACATTTTATATATTTGTGTTTGTACAAAAGTGAGAGAGGGAGGGAGCCAGCGAGAAACGAGAGTGGCGAGCAAGAATTTCAGGGAGAGAGGCAAATGGCAACAGTTTGCTACGAGTTACAATTAAATCAAGTTGTGGTTATAGCATTTAATTTGAATTAATTGTTTGCTATTTTATACAATTTTCCCATAAAAGTATGAAACTAAACTCTAAGTCAAGGATTTTATATACTAAATTGTATAAATATAATTATTTAATTTACTATTGAATTATTGGTCATATAACTCGTTAAAAATGTAACCCAATAATTAAAAAAATTAAATTATTACCATAATCGCTAAATCGATAACACATTATAAACCAACAAAAAAAATCAGGGTTATCGATTTCGGTTTGATTTGGAACAACCTAATTAGCATTATTAAAGAAATAATATTCTCTCAAAACTTTTTTCACATCATTTCTACCATATTTGTGGAGAGTATTTTTGTTAACAAGTATTATTTTAAAAAATTTATGCAATGCATACTCTTTTTAGTACACCAAATCAAACACTACTAAAAGAAAAATCTCAACATCACCAATACACTATACTTTGTGTCGTTTGCATGCATTAATTTTGTATACTATTAGTATCTTGTTTGGTATACTTTTTTAGCCCATGTATAATTAATCTTTGTATTTGATATACACTCTATTTGTGTAGTGAGGTGTGTAGTATTAATTAGTGGTGGACGCAAGATTTTTATTCAAGGGGTTCAAATATAAAAAGTAAAAATGCAAAAAGGTTGATTAAAAGGAGCGCAGCGTCGAAAGACAAGATTAATTTTAACTAACTAAATTTTAACTCGTTTTGTCATGTTCCATTTAATATTTTTTCCTACTTATGTCTTGCTTCATCGAACCTTTTTAAAATCTATTGTGCTTTCAGGGAAAAAAATACAGTAGTTATTTTTGAGTTGTAGCAAAACTTCTTTTCAAAAGCTGAAACATAACTTTCTCTAAAAGCAATTTTGAAAATTTTGGCCAAGCACAAATTTGATCTCTAATATTGACGAGAAAAAAATTGAATTTATTAGCCAAACACAAAATATTAATCTACAAAATAATTTTTTTGTGAAATCACTTCTGATAAAAAGTACTCCTCATAATAACAATTTTTATAAATTTGGTCAATCTCGCTATTAATTTTGTTGTTTTAACGTTTTAAATATATTTATTACTAGGAACCTATTATTATTCTATATTATATCCTTCATAAAATGATATAGATTTTTTTACATAATTTATATAAATATTATTTATGAAAAAAATCAAATGTTATACTAATTAATACTCCATCTGTCCCAATTTATGTGACACTTTTCATTTTTTGAGAGTCAAATAATTTTAGTTTGACAAAAAGTTTACGCATGGAATTTTCAAAAATTTAAATGAAATTTATATATTTATAAACTATGTAAAAAATACTATAAGTCAAAATAATTAAAAGATATATGAAAAATTCATAGGTCAAAGGAAGACTTGTTTGAATCTTGAAATTTAGAAAATGTCACATAAATTAAAACGAAGAGAATATCAACTTTTATTAAATTCTCATCAAACTTCAACTCAATTTCGTATAAGCTTTAGTGATTTTGTATGGATATTAACCTTTGTATAATCAAATCAAACAACCTTTTGAAAGTTGTGGGCTAGGCATTGGAAAAAGACAAAATTAAAACTTATAACTAAAAGCTCTGGGGAAAGACAAAATTTAAGCTAAAATTAAATATAAGCACGATTAGCAATAATCGAACCTGGAACCTTGGAGTCATTTTGAGCACTGAGCTACGCGTCACAGTTGTGTTGAGAGGGTTCATTTTATAATAGATATACTCATAAATAACAATTTTAACCTTATATAAACAGTGTATTTTTTTAATTGAGGGGGTTCAACCGAACCCCCTTCCGTCCACCTAGGTCCCCCTGGTATTAATACTATGAATTTTATGTGTTAATAAGGGGTTTATTTGATAGAGTGTACGTATTAGTAAAACTAATGCATACATTAGTTTTGTGTATTAGTAGTACTTTATTTGCTAGACCTTTTCAAGTTATGTATGACTAATGTATTCATTCTATTGTGTATTAAAGAGTATATTACTAATACCATGAATTTTTAGAAATTAGTAATGCAAAGAAATTTAATGCTGCATTAACTTTATTAAAGACCCACTTACCTCTCAAATCCTTTTTTAACATCTTTTCCATCATAATTGTTGCCTATATTTTTGTAAATATTTTTTTAGATATAATGCATGTTATTTTTAATACATTAAATTAAACAATGCGTACAAAATCATTTATGTGTTAATTACAAGTATTATCAATGCAAGCATTAATAATACACTATATGTAGCATTATTTTTATACAATCTATCACTCGACTCATGCTAGAAGGATTTTTATACACTCTACTAATTACAAGGATTTCAACACATGCATTGGATTAATGACATAACTATCCCTCAAATCCTTCTCAAAATATTTCTCATTTCTCAAAGCTAAAGGGTGTGGGAGTATTTTTATAAACAAATATGCTTTTAGATAAACTATGTGATAAGTCCGAGACTCATTTAGGGCTTTGTTTTGATAGTTTTAGTGTCCTCAAATGTCTAATTTATGCTCTAAACTAATGTTAAAGTGTTGATTTGTAGCTATGAAGGCTAAGGATCAAGGCAAGGACATGACCAGACAAAAAGGAACTAAAAAGCTAAAGAAGTGAAGAAAAGCAATCTTGGTGATCGCCAAGACCACTCGACAAACCGCCGAGTGACTCTTTAGCTCACCCAAAGTTCCAGCGTGCCAGCTCTGGGGAGAAAAATCAAGTTGGCGAAAGAAATGGACATTCGGCGAATCGTCGATCCACTCCGCGATGACAACCTTGATCGCCTAAAGTCACAAATCCCTGAGGACAACTGACTAATGCAAACCAGCGATGTATTGGAGCAAGCGGCGGATCGCTGACCTGTTCGGCGAAGCCCGACTTATCTCACCCAATGGCCTTTCAGGCCATATTTTGGGCAATTATAAATTGGAATTTTAAATGAAATTTGAGTAGTGACTGCCAGTTCTCTCCAAGTTATTGCAGTTCCCATTCTAGAATTAGAGTTTTTCAGTTCTTCTTGTAGACTTTGAGCGTTTCTAAACCTAAGTTTGAG